TAACGTTCGTCCTGTGCTGCTCCCTGTCTGCTTTAATAAACCCCGTTTACCCGTCAGGGCCGGAACATTCCGATTCGCCGCTCCCTGCTCGTTCTTTTGCATCAGTCTAGCCAACTTGTATGTAAAAAGCCATTTATACATGGATAATAAGACATCAATATAGACACCATTAAATACCAGCAGTGCTGGGATAGCTGAATAAATATGTTGAATGTAGTCACTGGATGGAAGTTACAAGTATGTGCAATTGTTTGTCTAATGGACAAAAGTACTTGAGGCAGGTGTATGACAGCAGATAGGCAGTATAAAAAGGACAGGGGTAATGTTGGTATAAGATCTTTATCGTTTTGGAAGCCATTAAGAAAAAAATGCTCTACTTGTTTTATCTTGTTCATTTTGTGTTGAAATGCTAAAAAAAAAAAAAACATATTCAGGTGTAATTTTGGGGAGCCAGGAACCAATCAATTGGTTTTCCATTATTTCTTATGGGAAAAATTCGATCAGAACTCGAACTTTTTAGGATTCGATCCGGAGTCCGGAACGGATTAAGTTCGAGAACCGAGGTACCACTGTGTGTGATTGTGTGTGTGTGTGTGTGTGTATATATATATATATATATATATATAGGCCTATCAGTGATCAGTGCTGGCTAAGTGAACCGCGGCAAAAACACTTAGCTTAGCATTTATGAGGAGAAATTTACACATTTATACATATGGGCAATAATGGCTATAATTAACTTGCACTTAATTGCGCGTGACCTTTAAGGACACAGGCGAGATTTTTCTAACAACAAAATTTCCCCACGCAGTCATACAGAAGGTAAAAAAGAAACATGTCAGGCGAATATGATGTCTTCTTTTAGCATAGTGCTCGAAACGGAGAGAGGGAGAGAGAGAGAGAGAGAGACTCAATTTTTTTCACCTGTCATACACTGAATGTCCCTCATCTGTTGGATCTTGTATCTTTAGATCTAAATGATATTGGTACAGCCAATGCAATCAGGCCTATTAAACACTATATTTCCTCTTACGATTTCCCTTAATATACGTTTATGACTGTGGGAAGTAAGTATCCACTTGTTTATTTGATTCTACTTCCACAGTAGTGCACTGCTTGACTGAGTTGTAAGACAGCTGAAGGATCCCAAACACATCATGAATTATAAAGCAGTCCGTGGGAGCATATGTGTGCAAGCTGTCAAAATTTAAGGCAAACATGGGTGAAAAAGTCTATTTAAAGGTAAAAAAAAAAAACCCGATAATCCTCAATAAGAGACTGGTAGGCAAATGTCTTAATAACACAATTTTAAACAACTCCCATATCGGAAATAAGCCATCTTAAACTTAAAAACGTAAGTGCACGGGGGGAGGCCACGATCACATTTTCTCCTAAAAGTCAAACAAGTATGCAAGTGCGCACCGACCCCATTTCACCAAAAGATCCATCTGTTTCTATGTCATCTCCAGTGAGATACCCTGTCCTCGGGGGTGGCGCAGCTGATTGGCGGATAGAGATGACTGTCTTTTTATTGCGGAGGGCTGGTCCACTAGAACACTGAGTGCGACGTTTTTCAATTTCACTGAGCGCACACTTGTGAGGTATAGCGGCTTATTGCTTGTGAATCTGTAAGAGCAAAGAGAGGAAAATAGAGGAAAGAAAGAAAGTCACCATGGCTGTATCCGCAACTCCGCCGATGCTTTCCAGCACGTCTTCCCCTAGTTCTGGGGGTTTATTTCGCTCCGATCCGCTCTATGCCAGTTCGAGCGAGTCCCCGAGGCTGCCCAGCGGGATGATAAACACTTTCATCAACAGTGGAGGAGGAGGAGGAGGAGGTGGTGGTGGTGGTGGTGGTGGCGGCGGTGGGGTAAACGGCAACACCGTCAGTAACGATTGTAAAATGGTGGAAGTACATGGGGTGAAGGTAGCCTCCTTTAACATGGATGGACAGGAGATGATCTGTCTGCCGCAAGTTTTCGATCTCTTCCTGAAGCACCTTGTCGGGGGGTTGCACACCGTCTATACAAAGTTGAAGCGCCTGGATATATGTCCTGTGGTGTGCACCGTGGAACAGGTCCGGATTTTGCGTGGCCTCGGTGCCATACAACCAGGAGTCAACCGCTGTAAACTCATCACCCGTAAAGACTTCGAGGCGCTTTACAGCGACTGCACAAACGCCAGGTTAGATAGTTACGTTTGTTTTATTTCCCCGTCTACTACGCGCACCATGTTTCCCATAGCGAAAACAATCGGTAACTTACTGGCGTGGATAGATGGGAGGGGGCTTCTTGGGTAGGCTACAGCTGAACACAGGCGTTTGACAGTGGGAAAATCGCACCCCAAAACTAATTTTAAAAATAACAAGCAAACAAAAATAACTTTATTAGGCTTTACACTTGCTGGGTAAAATGAATTTAACTGAAAACAATCCGATTTAATCTAAACGTCTGTTTTGCAGGACTGTATATATTGTTAACTTTTTTTCAGTGGAATGAACAGCATTTATGGTAAATAATAAACTCGAACTAAATTTAAGTTACTTTAAAATGCTTTATGCGCAGTTTATCGTAAAACGTCATTAAATTCTGAAGTATGACTTTATATTTATTTATTATTTGTGCGTGTCATTAATATTTAAAGTACTTGTATTCATCACATATGTACAATGAATTGCCCATAGTCTCACCCTCTTGTTACATTCGGTACGACACTGCTAATTGCTTGTTAACCGAGAGTGTTCACTAAAGCAAATTTAATATTTATTTATGTAATTTCGAAATATAAAGCCAGATATTAGAATATTTATGGGCAGAAACTGGAAACAAAGTAATAAGTCTATTTACACGTATGTATTAGATAAGAATCAAATTAATTTAATTCAGCGGATGTTTTTACAATTGGTTGTTTTAACTGAAGTGTCTTATTGTGTGACAGCTCTAACATAGATATCCCATTTACGCGTCGATTAATGTTTAATGCTCTTTTAATTTAACTTTGATTAACTTTGAAAACGATATATTTACTTATATGTGAAGTTGAACATTTTTGTTAAGGCTTTCACGACCTGGCATAGCTGTAAGTGTGGGTATTTTAATGTATGTTGGTCTGATTTATTGCACACGTTATATTTGATGTATCACGGAAACCAGCTGTTTAGATGCCTTATAACACTATCCAACGACAGTTTCAGTTATAGCTTTCTTCGTAATTTGATGTTAGTGATTGTTTTTAAAATAAACAATTTCCCAAGCACGTCACTGTCAACGTTTACGCACGTAGTACCGTCCACGTCGTGTCCCTGCATATCAGAGTCCTCATTTTAACATTCGCAGAAAAAATAAGCCTGATTGTGAAACGCGAATGCAAATATTGTTTTGATTTATCTCTTTGCGCCCTTTTCTCTTCCTCTTTTCCATTTGAATTGATCCTGAATTAATTCTCGCCGGGCAACCTATCGCCGGTTGCAGATGTTCCTGTGTTTGATAAATCAATGAGACGGACCTGAATGAATCGCTTCAGATGGATCCTCTGCTCGGTTTGATGTCTAGATGTTATTCTTAGCTTATTATCATGACAGATGCATTAGCGCCCGAGCAGTCTGCCAGCAATGCCGATGAGGCGACAACTTTAAAGAGCTGGGGCCCCCTTCCCCCAAGACGCCTCTTTATCAGCTCCAAGCCCAGTGGTTGATGCTCAATTTAGTTTTTGTTCATAATTCAGACCACCCCCGCCCTCTCCACCTCTGCAGGCGGTATTGCCCCGGCTGCAGCAACAATGAAACGCACCGACTTCTGTAATAAGAATTAGACAATAAAAGACAAATGAGGCGTTTTCGTTTCGTATTGCGTTAAAATCTTGGACCTTATTTAATATTACGTTTCAGCGTTCACCGCCGGGATATTTAAGTAATGACAGTGGTTAGGAAACGTTTTCACAACTTAAAGCAGTTTGAGTCCACATAGACTACATTTTCATTTATAGAGCATATGAAAAAACTCCTACATATGTTAGACCTGTTACATTACCTGTCCAGGTACAGGTCAGTGACAGCTATGTTATCCATTTTATAGTTAATACTGGGTTAGATATAAACATTAAGCATCCATTCACATGTCAAATAACACGTTAAAATCGTAAAAGAAATAGCATTGTGCACAGCCGTTTCAATCTTGAAAAAAAAATAAATAAATAGAGGCTTATTGGTCTTCAAGCACGACCATAGGTGACCGAGTTTGTCCTCATTTCTTAAGCGGAACAATACTTAAATGGGATATCTCGTTGGTACTCTTCCTGAAGGAATATAAAGAAAGAAGAAAAAAGTGTACGCTATTCATTCTGAGGTCCACGATGTGAGATTGACGCGCTCCAGTTTAACACAAGCACCATCTTTGAGCTCCAGAGCTCAATTTCCTAGTAGGATTTTAGAATTTATTTCTTGTACTAATAAAATAAGTTTATGCAATATAATCTTTTTAACGTACAGTGTGGGCTATTTATTTTATTCTGACCCGAACTAGTCCATCTGTAAAACTTAATACGAAAGTTGGCTATAAAAACCGTCATAGGGCTACATTGTTGCACACAAACTTAAAACATTAAAATTAAGAGGAACGCATAGACATGACTAAAAAGCAAATTAGGCCTATTAGGCCTACTTCAATACAAGGGTAGCCTCCAAAGTTAAAAACGAGTGATAAGAAGTAACACAAGGTGCATGAGTAAGGGTGCTAGTAGTGTTAAATAACATTATATCTTATTAGTTGTTTGCGGCGTGGTATGTAGCTTTCAGGAATTTCAGCCCGGTCCCCGGAAAATGAGCCACACAGGACGGAAGCCGCAGGTCACACGTGCGGTGGTCGCCATACCCTTGGACTGTGTGCAATTCGCCTCGGCATCGAGTAGGCTATAAAAGAATCAAACCTTGCGAGAAATAATGTAATAATTCTCTAGTTCTCAGCACCGAAAGAAAGAGGAACAATAAAAAGCCGATGTGGGACAAGGACAAACAGAGCTTGCAGCTGCCCAGTATATCACAGTATGTCGCAGGCTCAGGGACTCTCCGCAGTCACTCTGCCTGGAGGTGAAGACACACACTGGGTCGCAGATGCACTACAACGCATAAAAACAGTTAAATGAAGTATAGGATATTAGGAAGTCTTTTAGTTATATTTTTCAGGTTCAATTAACCATGATTATCAAATTCAGCCTACCACATTTTTAAATTGTTAATCACCGCGTTCAATAGTAAGTCTTTGCCCCGGTAAAAATTTTCCCACATATGCTTTAAACTACTCTGTTGTTTGTGTCTGCAATTGGCGTGTTTAATTCTTACCTAAGCATTAGAAAAGTTATAAAGAACACAAGATGAGAAAATCTTGAAAATCATTGTCCAAACAGTTGATATAGGCCTATTCTTATTGCGATTTTTTAACCACACATTTTATTGAAAAATTCCCGCTTTGAATGATACACTCAGTTTCGTTTTGGCTCGTCGTCTCCCGTTAATATCGCAATGAGCAGTTGTAGATTTAAAGTGGCTCAATGTTTCGATCAATGTTTTATTTGGGTGAGGTAAGGTACGACTTGGTTAATGACGGTTTAGTAACAGACACTGGCGTGAAAACCGTGTTATTTTTTTACTTGGGGAGGGTAGAGCATCGAGTAGGTAATGAAATTGCCCAGGCGATGCGGTGGAGGGGGAATTGAATTTTCTCCCCCTCCTCGGGATGTTTTACGGTCTAAAGCTGTTCCTGTTTCCATCGTGCTTTATAGTTGCGATTTTAACATGGTCCTGCGCCAGATGGCTTGGACTAATACGTGCGAATGGATCGCTCTTTTCCCTTGAGAGGAGTGAGGGAGGGAAAGAAAGAAAGGGAGATTTTTTTTGTCTTTTTATCTTGAAACCCGATAGTTAGTTATGCGATGGCTTAATGTTATAACAAAAATAGATACAAGAAAGTAAATAAAAACATTTCCATTATATTTTCAAATTGCAGGTCTGGATGAATGCGGAAGCTTACAGAGGAAGTAGGGTGAACTATGTAAAAGTGTGACAGACGCTTTTTGGTGAATGATTTAGAAAAATCTCATGAAAGCCATTTGCTCAAACTAATATTTGTTTAGATTTGCTGCATGTCTCCTTAAATGTTTTGTGTGGACATTTGAACAGTTTATGCAATATTTCAGAGTTAAATGGGAAAAAATCTCATATGTTGATGAGCTTGTTCAGGTAAAGTGGGACAGCTGTTCTGCAAAAGAGGTACAATGGATTCTCCGTATAGAGGCAACTATATTTTAATTGCACAAAGCAATATCTTATTCACCAATAAGTTAAACCATAAATAAATTCTTTGTAACTTTTTGTTCACAAGATCCAACTGTTTAAAATAAATGTTTTCTTTTTCACTTCATGAGTGTCTTAATTAGATCTTCATGAAACATTCTTTGGTATATGTTGCCGATCTTTGTTCGCGGGGGGCGGGCTGTCCCTTTCTATTTTCGGGCGAAAGCGATTCACCAATTCTCCAGCAATGAAATAAAGTATTATCCTTTATAGTATCACAGTCTATCTATAAAAACTGGTCGATCGCGATCGAAGACTTGGGCACACCCGATACATATACAAATGTGTCCCATTTCACCTGAAAAGTACTGTCCCAATTTTACTTTCAGCTGCAGCAAAAGTTGGACAGCACTAAAGACAAAAACAAACAAAAAATCTAATATATTTTTCAAAAATGTGCTTTATTTTTTAAAAAACAATCTCCAACCCTCTTTTACTAAAATACAACAGCTTAAACAACATTGTCAGCTTCGGAGGTGAACGCGAGCACGGAAGCAGGCGAACGAAGCCAAAAGGTCCGGTGAAGGGTTTATTGAAGGCAAAAGGACAGGTGCAGACAACGACGGACCATACAACGATGACAGATCTGGGGAAACAGACTGAGACTCGGACTAAATACACAGGACT